CACAGAGACACAGAGACACAGAGACACAGAGACACAGAGACACAGAGACACAGAGACACAGAGACACAGACACACAGACACAGACACACACACACACAACACCACACACACACACACAACACACACACACAACACCACCCACACACACACACAAGCTCCTGAGCGGTCACGAGCACCGCACTCAAAGGGTGAGGAACCCTGCGGTTAGCAGTTGCCCCCGACGTTCCACTGTGCTTTGCCATCTGGTGGCTCTCGTTGTGGCGGCCTGGTGTTGCAATCGCTGCTGCTGATCCTGCGACTACTTTTCGGCGATTGACTTCACCATCCTTTGCTACTTTGACTTCTTAATTCTGGCCGATCTGCGGGGGTGGCTCCCTGTGACTGGTGGATAGGGTGGGCTCCCATAATCTTTTCTGGCCTGTGGATTCCGATAATTTTGGGTTTTGCAATTACATTGATTGGCTCTGCAACACTGCTGCTGGACAACGCTCCCTTCAGTGCTGGCGGGATTCTCTCATTTGCATTTTGCTCAATTTTGATCTACACCAACAAGATTTTTGCTTCGCCTCTCCAGCAAGAAGATCTACAGAAGAAGACCGCTAGCCGGTCCCAATTCCGGCCATCAGGACACCAACGAAGAGCTCTTTTGGTCTTCTGGGCCCTTTTTGGAATCTACCTTTTTGGTGGACTGATGAGGAGTGAGGGTTTCATCACTTCCATGGGTGATGAGAGAGTGGATGTACCTGACAAGCATTTTGACGCTTGGCCTTCCACGAAACAACATGGATGGGAACCCAGAAAGATTCAAGAATCGCACCAGACTGGTTTTCATAGACAAGTTTGCAAAAGGAGTTTTAAAAGGGCCCTGACCAGGGCAAGAAATCACGGGATCACTTGGTATAAAGGTAGATTGTACACGGCATCACAGCTTGGCACACAACAGGCAACTCCTGCTGTTCCCAGATCCAAGAATGTGAATCCCCCCAAAGCCATTCAGAGACGACGTTTGACATGCTTCTCATGGAACTGCAATGGGCTCCCACCAACTCACTGGGACTTCTTGATGATGTGGCTGGAGCAGCAAACAATCGATGTTCTACTCCTTCAGGAAACTCACTGGCCGTTCTCCAGCGATTGGATGTCCAAGGGATACATGATGGTGCATTCTGGCACCCAGACGAACCAGGCTGGACTTTTGCGTATGGTTTCAAAACGAATTTGCCACCCATCAGATCTCTCTTGGCATGAACATATTCCAGGAAGAGTTTGACAGCTGAGAATTCACGGGGGGTCAAGATGCATCGATATCATCAATGTCTATCAGTTCACTTGTATTCCTAGCCACATGGAATCTAGGGAAAGACTTTGGCATCAATTGTTTACTCTGCTCACAACGCTGTCAAAGAAGAATGTTTTACTCATGGCTGGAGATTTCAATTGTTCTGCAGATCAGAGAACCAATGCTGTGGGATATCCAACATTTGCAAGAGACGGTGAACGTTGTCACGGGCCGAGACATCCAGATGCTGATCATTGGAAACAACTTCTTTTGCAATTTGATCTGATGGCTCTCAATACTTGGAATGCTGGAGATGGACCAGCTTATGAGTTTTGCAATCAATCATCCAGAATTGACTACATTTGCATTCGAAGAGCTCATGCTGATCAACCCGCAAGAGACGTTAAACTGCTCAGGGACTTTGCACTGGTCCCCATCACTGGCGCCTTTCACGTACCACTGATGACCACCATCAGGCGTGAATGGTTTCCTGAACACAAAAAGCACAATAGTGGGTGGACGAGACAACAACGGCTCCAACTTCATCAGCATTGCACAAAACAGGACAGTGTTTTTGACATGTTTCATGCACAGGTCAACGCTGCTGTACGTCGACTTGAGGAATCCAATGCATCAGACCTTTCACAGCTGCATGAGACCTTGAATCAGTTTTCTGGCAAACCATTCCAACATGATCAATCACACAAACTTGACAGATTGGATGCTGGGCTATTTCGTCGATTCCAGGAACACACGATAAAGCTGAGAAGGGTGCGGACTCGCGATTTGGCTGGACTCTTCAGTGCATGGTTTCATGTCAGTTGTAGATGCAAAGCAAGACATCTCATGGCACAATCCTCAAAGGCAGCCCGCAAGCACAGACTGGATCAGGTCTATGATGCTGCAGACAGAGCTGAACGAGCCCAAGATCATTTTACACTGTTTCAGGCAATTAGATCCATTGCACCAAAACAGCCGCAAAAGCGTATCATGCTCCGATCGCTGCAAGGTGAACTCCTTGGGCCTGAAGCAGCTGCTGACTGGCTACAACAATGGTTTCATGACCTGTACTCAGATGGCGTGTCTTATTTCCCTGTTGAACCTTTTGAATGGCCATTCACAGTTGCGGACTTTACACATGGGCTACAAACTTTGCCAACTCATAAGGCCTTGTCACCCCCAGTTTTCTCCAGCGCCCTTCTGGAAGTATGGAGCTGAGGCCATTGCACATTATCTCGAACGGATGTTGCATGATTGTTGCAAGGTTCCGAGTTTTCCAGAAATGTGGGAGGTGAGCACCTTGGCACTACTTGTCAAACCGGGGAGGT